ATACGAAATCCTATATAATTTTATATATGTATAATTCTGCGCGATACATTTTTTGCCATAGAATGTTGCAGTATAGATGGGAATGCAATTTCTCGCGTCATTTATCTAAATAAATTCTATTTGTAAAAATAGAAGTAGGTTTAAATAAATACATGTTGTTTCTAGATCATTATGGTATAATTTAATTATAATTTCAAATCTCAATTATTTAAAAAGTTCATGGTTCTTTATATAAGACATTTATGACATAAAGCACAAGAATTCAAAGTTTGTAACTCATTTTGATTATATTTTATATATTAACTGATTTCATTTAAATTCCTACAAAAAGTACAAGTACATTATAGAACTTTAAAATGCACATACATATACATATAGAAATGTAAAAGTACGCATGCACTGTTTATCAAGCTCAGTGACAATAACTGGAAGCGAGTTTCCTACCATACAATCATGTGATACAAGATCAATAACTAGAAAAGGTTTCGTCACGGTACGAGTTCGAGTTCATTGGAAAACTTTTTGATCTCGTGGCCGTCGTACTTTCGGTGTGATATCAGAGATGGTGTATTTTGTGTAGGTGACACTGCAAACAGAAAAATGATAATGATACATGTGACATAGTATCAATAAAAGGAAAGTCAACGTTTCTATAAAAAGACAGATCTTGCTTTCATTATATGTATTGGTGCAGCCAGAAATGTCAGATGCATGAATGATTGAAGGACCTTGGACTTCTAGTTCTGAAACTGTGTACGATAAAAAGAAGTGTCTGTATTACCCTCGACGTAAACAGCTGATCTCCTAGTGTTCGTAATTTCTATACAAAATGTTGCATAACATTACACGCGTCTACAAGTAATTCTAAGCTAAACACCATTTCACACTTCTTCGGGAAACTACGGCTCAATAAAAAATGAGTTCTGTTTGGAAACGACTGCAGCGGGTAAACAAGAGGGCTGCAAAGTTTCAGTTCACTGTATCATATCATGAAGTCACTTTAGTAACAACAACAAAATGGTATGTGTTTACTTAGCAGTTTCTTTTTTCATTTTTTACAAAATGGAAGTGTCATAATAATATAAAACAACCATTTATTATATGTACAAAATTCAATATCAACTTATTTATTTATAGTAGAACAACAAGAGACGTATGGCCATAGCATAGATAAAAAATTATTTCCAAAATCTGTATACTTTTAATAATACAAAAGACACTACTAATATATTTACATACTAGATTTCTCAAAAATTATACAATCGTTTGGATGGTAATTTCACATGCAAACATAAGTTGAACAAAGAGAATAACATTTTCTAATTTGAGGACTCATTTATACCATAATATTTGTGACATCCTATATATTGTTTTATTATTATCATTCAATATAATTATATTTAGAAGTCTGTATGTCTACTTTTTTTATTAGTTATTTTACAACAATCAAGTTTATTTGCTAGTGTTATAATAGTATAATGTTTATATATCGGTTGTAAAATAATTTTTATGTTGTGTATTTACCTATGTAATTTCTCCACTTTTTTGCATTTAGGAAACCAAATAAGCTAAGCGTTGTATGGACGAGACGTAGTAGGAGAGTTACTTCAGAACCTTTAGATTGGGAACCTAATTTAAGTGATCCACTAAAAGGTGTAATTAGTTGGGCTGTTCCGGACAATCACTCAGTTTCTGTAACTTTGTTCAAAGATCCAAGAACTCATGAGTTAGAAGATAAAGATTGGACATTTGTAATTGAGGATGTAAGAGACAGGATTTATAAGAGATTTTAGTTATAGGAGGTACTTGAGAAATACTTACATTGGCATTATATGTGATAGGTTTCTCCCACTGGTAAAAGGCGGCATGTGGCTGCCACAAATATAAATATGAAAAAGTATGCAACTTTAGAATCTAGTCAACAACAACTTAAATTAGATTTAAAGCCAACATCGAAAAAAATTGTTAGTGCTTCTTTAGAATGTACTTTATCTTGTGTCTTCTTAAGAGAAGGCAAAGCAACGTAAGATAATCTTAAAATTGCAAATTTTACTTAGAATCAATAAGTATATATAAATATTACACCTAATATTATTATTTTGTTATCAGAGATGAGGATATGCAGAGTATGGCTAGTTTAATGTCAGTTAACAATAATAGTGATATAGCACCTCTAGATGATTTTGATAATGAGGATATACCTGAGGATGTTGAAGAAGTATCCGTGAAAAATCTTGATGAAATTCTAGATATTTCTGCACAACTTGATTTAATGACAAGTAGTCTTACTGAAAGTGAACTACCTAGCACTCCAATAAGTGGTAAGGCTGCAGTAAATGTATGTTCACAAATATGAAGGCTAATATAATAATACTATTGTTCATTTAACAGTGGCAAGTTTATCAAAGGACAATACTACACCTGTAAATGATAATGATCATTTCATTCGTGATATTAGTCTAACAGGCATTGTCGATTCTTTTAAAGAGAAATCATCAATAAAAGACAGTGTTGCAGTTGAAAATGAGTATGTTAAAAATCATATATGTTCAATCATGTGGGATATACATGTAACATTAACATTAATACATCGAAAATTTTCACTACATTTTCTAACAAATATGTCATTTATTTGTAGTAAAAACATTGAACACATTACACTGAGATTACCATTACAACCATTAGAATTAACAAGGAACGATATTACTATTCCTAGATTAAAAGAGATTACACCAGGCCAGGATTTATTGGAGTGGTGTAAGGATGTAACTAAAGATTATTCTGGTGTGAAAGTTACTAATCTTACAACATCTTGGAGAAATGGAATGGCATTTTGTGCAATCATACATCATTTTAGACCGGATCTTATGTATGTAAAGCTAAAGCAATATTATATTAAATTTTATGATTTATAACAGAGATTTATGTATTTCTTAGAGAAAACAAATGTACACTACAGTTACAATTAATACTTTGGCAGTATGTCAAATATCTTATTTATTTGTTCTATTTATAAATTGTTGACCTATATTCATTCGTTTCTCTTAAATAAAACATTGCAGAGACATAGTGTCATTATTACCACATGATGTAAAAGGTAACTGTAAGAAAGCATTTGATGCCGGTGAAGCCCTTGGTATACCTAGAGTTATAGAACCAGCAGATATGGATATATTAACTGTACCTGACAAGTTAGCTGTGATGACATATTTATATCAGCTGAGAGCACATTTCACTGGTCATGAGTTAGAGGTAAACAATGACAATAAATCTTTTTATCGAACATATAATATAACATATATACTTGTGTACCATATATTAAATGTTTTATTTACTTACGATACATATATTTACATTCAGTTCTATATTTCAGAACGATATACTTCGATTTAAGAATACATGTATAAAATATAATTTTATTTATTTCTTTTATACATCATATTCTTATTGAGGAATTTATTTCATGACTGTAGGTACATCAGATAGGTAAAACTACAGATGAATCTTCTTACATGATTGGTAGATTTAATACAGACAATAATTCGGATGTGAGTGTACAATTATTTAGTCAAGAAATAATCAATTTACATAAGAAGGATCAAATGGAACATAAAAGCAATAAAATAGACAACATTAGACGGTATGTGGATTATAATTTTTGTTTCAATTTTAGTTGGTCCTGTAAAATTACAAATTTAATTGTTTCACAGGTCGAATCCATTTGATAACAAAAAGGAGGATGCTAACATTGATTCATTAAAAAATAGATTACATTTGAGTCTGAATACTGAGAACCAGGATTATGATCAATGCAATAAAGATAAATCACCGTCTAGTGTTAAAGATGTTAAAGACATCATATTAGCTAGTTCGAAGAGTATTCTAGAGAAAGTGTTGTCACCAACTAAAGAAAAATATTTATCTAAAGAAAAGGTATGTGTGTATGTCCACTTACAAGCTATATATGTGTCTATCATCAATGTGAAATCATTTATCTGTATTATTATATGTCATTGTAAATTATTGTACAAAATGGTAATACAAACCATTGAACTAAATTCACTGCAGAACAAATCACCTCCAAGAGTACCACAAGTACAGCATCGTCCTATCTTAATGACTCGTCGACAATTAACAGATCCGTTCGGATCGGACGAGGAAGAGGAAAATATGCAGATAGTCGACGAGAAGTGGTCTCAGTCAGTTTCAGTTAATAAATTGCAATCACCTGTTCGAGATGTCAGTATATCTAAATTGCGCAAAAATATTTTATTCCATTAACACATTACTTAATTTTTATTTAATTTATCTAATTTAAATTAACTGATATAACTTTATAATATTAGTGCTTACAATTTTCAACATTACTTTAATTAAATGCCTCTTTTTGCACATTTATGAAATATGAAAATTTTTTTACTAGGTACTTGATATATCTTTATTTTATGCGACTATTTCTATGTGCAGTACTCTTTATGCCCGTCTGCAACATCATTATAAGCATTATATGTTATTATGTTCATTTGCATGTGCACATGAT